ACTGTAATTTTGAGGCTGTTCCAGAAAAAAAGCTCTCATCCCAACAGATTCAAAGGAAAAGTTGTTCAAAGCCTTGGTACTAGCCATACAATAGGAGCTTTCATGCATGTCGCTGGCGTTGTTTCTGTCGTTTTCTCGTTCTTTTTATGATACGTCACCTCATGTGACTTTCCAGTGTGTTTTTACGGCTATAGCAAGCATCTCTGCTGATTTGGGGATCACTGAAGTCATACCGCAAGATTAGTCTGATTCGAGTACGATCTCTAAGGCTTGGAAGTGACAGGTTAATAAACGCATTGTTGCAACACCCTGAGTTTCAGATCGTCAAAAAGCTTTAGGAAGGTTAGTATAATTAGACTTTTAAGCAACAGGCGTGCTGGATGGATACCAAGGCAGACCAAGTTTGCGTACATTTACCTTATGATCAACACCACCTCTAGGCTTATTTCCACTTTTGAGGTAAAGCTTCAAATCATCAAATAACCTAAACGACTATTTATTCAAAACTCTTTGACACTACCTTGAACTATTTTTTCGTTTTATTGTGTACATTTCTCAATTTTTCACTTTTAAAATCCTGTAGAATTTCACTGATCAAATAGCCTTACAGAGTGAAGATTATTCGGCTTATTCTACCTAATCCCTTTCGTTCAATGTATGGTGTCACCAGATAATGACCTTTTAAGCTTGTGTAATGTGCACTAATCATCCTTATTCCACCGACGTATTTTAAACGTTTCTTTGCAGCGTTTTTAGAATTACCATCTCGGACTTAGAACTCCACCTCAATTTCACCATCCGCGCGCCTTTTGACCGCGACAAAAACGTGCTATGACTTGCCCTTTATCCCAAACTATTTTCTCTGTGTTTCCCGGTAACCAACTAAGGGGATTTCATGGTCCAGTTCATAATTATGAGAAGTTGGTTGTTACTCGTTAATAACAGGGATTACGTTATCTACGTCATGCTGTCGTTCTTCCAGCTGGTATTTGCTTCAACCATCAATTTAAGGAATTCCGCCAATCTGGGAAAAATTCTACTTACCATTAGATTAAAAAAACATATTTTTTGCGTCCTTTTGACAATGATAAGCCTTAATCAAAAGTCTTGAGAAAAGTCTCGATGATGGGCGCCACTTATTAAAGCACGGTGGGCAGAAATCTATAAAATTATGTGTTAGGTGCAACCGTTGGTGGTGCTCCGTCAACAACTTTATAATCTCTTGCAACAACAGAATCGACTGCAGCATCAGCCAACAGTCCATCTTTGGAAGGGGTTGAGCTTTGAAGAAGGAAAAGAAGTCAACCAAAAAGAGATATTCTTACAAAGAGAGGAAACCGGCAACAAGGCAAATCCTGCTGACGTTGCACCTAAAATGAAGCGCCTAAGATAAGCAAATGGTGAAAAATTGTTCACCGAAGAGGAATGATTTTCATTTGTTCAGATTGCTAGATATTTCAGCAGGCCATTACCTTAATGGGGGGAAGATGTAGAAAATCTCTTCCGTTTTTAAAAATTTCAATAACAATTTTTCTCTTCCTCTCCCCCTGTCGTATTCCTTTTTAATTCTCGCGTGGTGCACGTGATTTCGCAAATTAGCCAATCACTCAAAGAACTTTAATCTTGACAATGGAAAACTGACGTGGACATTTTCGCGTACTTTCAGATTTGTTTTCGCGGTGTTTAAGTTAGGTGTTTTTGAGCTTTTGTTCGCGTAAATTTGTTACTCCTTTGTTTGGAATTTAAAGAAGTTTCGAAGTTGTTATTTTAGCCAAATGCTGTGGTTCATAGAACAGGTTTAAGACATATTTTCAACGGGGATTGGACTCTAGTCTCTTTTTTCGTAAATGAATTTTTTACAATAAGGCCGATCTACCGAATGAAATTGTGCGCCTCCTCGGAGGATGAACATACGATCAATACGTCAATGCAGAAGCGATGGAGACGAGATTTCAAATAATTTGTACCGGTAATAAGTTATTATTACCGGTACAAAAACAATTGTAAAAGTGACTTTCAGATTATCTTCTTCCTGTGAGTAACCTATGGAATCATTGGCTTCAGCATGAATGAAAGAAGCGTTTATGTTGTTAAAAGGGACTGATAATGAAAAATGGACCAACTACGGCCCTTTATAAAAAAAAAACAAACAAAAAAAAAAAACACTTTCAGAAACCTCTCTCTGCCTTATTCTACGGAAATAGGAATCTTGATAGATCTTTTACATCTTAGAAGTCAACGACAACCGTCAGAGCTAAGCTTTTTTTTCGCTTTTTTTATTGTTGTTGTTTTTTTAAGTAAAGTAAGGTTAAACGCAACAACTGGTACAACTGTCCCGTAATATTACTACATACATATATAACTACAACTGTCCCGTAATATACCTAAAATTGAATGGAGTCTTCTCCAAAGTTTCCCACAAAAAAGAAAAGATGTATTGTACATTGAGTAAAATTATAAAATTATATAAAGTGTTCATTTGTGTAAATTACATTTAGCAAACGTCGCTGTCAACTGCCGACGTCCATTACTCAATCCGGTAATGTTGGATGTATGATATATATACATACATTCATGAACCTTTTTTTCCAATAGATTGTGTCAGCGTTACAGAATTTCTCTGATAAGAGACTCCTTAGCTTGGCAGCTATACATCTGTTGAGTTTAGACATTACTACCAAAAAAACTAGCGTCGGCGATCCCATTCTCAAATCGAAATTGAGTGAACAAACGTCAGCTTGTGACAAAAATTGCATAAATTAACGTCAGAGATCACATATTTCAGAGGGACGTGATCACGAATCTTTTACAGAGGCCAAACCTCTTTTTGTTCCCAAACGTATCGTTAAGATAGGTATTTCCTGTGATGGTATGTTTGTCGACATACAATATTGCCTATGGGAGATATTTGCAATTAAAAAACCCCAATTTTTTGTTTGGAATAGTTGCGTGACTCAGTTAAAGATTGACTGCTCTGAATCAAATTACCCCAACTTTAAGGAATTGTTTCCTTAGGGTTCAAACAACTATTGGACAAAATAAGATTAAAATCCATCGCATTCTGTTAATGTGAGAGAGATTCGTTGGAAGTGCATTTTTCGAGCTAATTTTAGCCTTTTACCCCAGGGATTTGATGTGGGGGCTCTAATACCCCAGGGATTAGCCGGGAGCCCGAACTACTTTGGATTCTTGAATAACTTAGTGACCCTCACAAACTGTGTATAATATATAATAATAACATACACATATTTACAATACACAAATTACAGCTAACCCTAACGGTTTGATTTTTAGTAAGTGCTTCTGGAGCACTTTATACCATAGCACCAGGAGCAACTGTTATGGTCTGCTGCAAAAATTTGGCAGTTCCATAATCCGGCACTTGCCTCGCCAATCTTCACCCTGTCGCCAAAGTAAAAATCTATTTTTAATAACTAGTTGAATTCTCGGGAGCCCTCGATCGGAACACGTCTTGAAATGAGAAACTGTTACAGTCATCGATAGTGCTTAAAGAACCTCAGCCAGGCTGTGACGTTTGCTATAACTTGACATAGGTACTCTTGAATTGAGAATTTTGATGTTTCTCGTTTATATAACCAAAAAGGCACCTTTATGTCATCAGTAAAATTTTCCAATTCCATTTAATTGTAACAACAATTGAAGTTTTAAGAAAAATATCTACCATAAAACTACAGTGCAAGATGTCGTGTGCAAAGACTGAGGCGTAAGTGAAGGATAGGGACTACACGAGTTTACCCAAAGTACGTGATATACCTCTGCAAAAATAAAAATAAATCAGAAAACAAAACAAAAGTAGGACAGAAAATTCTCGTGCATGCTCTTTTTGCCAAGAAAGTCTGTTGAATAATTACAATTATTCATGAGAAAAAGTACAGGAGTACGAAAACTACACAAAGCTCTTGGGCTCAGTAGTACATACCATTTGTCTGACATAGTTTGATGCTACACTGGTTTGCAGATTTAATGAATGTAACCGAAGAAGTTACAATTCATAGACCCAACGTTTCGACACTCCTGTCTAGTGCCTTCATCAGGGGTGATCTAAACGCTGCAACAAGAGGTCCTTTTATATGATCACTAATTAGTGGCCTTTTTTTTTTGACGAGGTGTAAATAGGCGTCAGGAAGCAGACTGCCATCGTCACGATTTAAAGGAAAGTGGGCGGAGTTAATGTGCCAAGCCTCCAAACAAAGGCGCTGGTGGTAACGCCGATTAGTGGTGATAATTTTAGAATTATCTCACCCAATTGTATGGTTGGTTAGGCAAGTTTGCTCCGATAAAGCTGAATTTTCCTTTTTGCAAAGAAAAACCGCTTTTTGGCGCTCTTTTAACCGTGTACCAAACTGGCGTTTGGTCTGTCCGATGTATTCGTTGTCACAGTCATTGCAAGGAATAGAATAAATGGCGTCAGTTCGTTGTTCTTTCGTGACAGGATCCTTAGGTTTGGCGAAAATATGCCCCAAAGTCTGAAAAGGTTTTTGAGCAACTTTAACGTTGTGGCTATTCAAAATTCTCTTGATGGGTTCAGTACGTTTAAAACCTTCATTGCCACGGGGAAAAGGAGATATTTTGCGATTTTACCGCGAAAGTTACTCTCAACCTGAGTACCAAACAGTGTGCTACTAGTTAACGTAAGGGAAGAACCGCGCCAAGGGACTTCCTAGGGATCAAATCAAACTTACTTCCAAGTGGTTGTCTGTCAAACTTGACTCCATTCTAAGACTATACAAGCTACCCCTGTGCAACTCTTGGAACAAATCGATCTTCTTTGGCAACCTGAGCTCTCTCTTCATTAACCCTATATGACTGGGCAACCTTCAATGGTTCTGATAAAAGAACCCCTGTGAGTTCCAAAGCCCTGTATTGCAAATTGTTTTTTCTTTAGAGAAGACAAGATTTCCAGTCTAAAATCGCCCATAAATAAACAGGCTATATGAATTCCTAATAATTTAGCACAAGGCCTCTTTGTTTCCACTTACTTCTTCGGACTCAAAAGCATAAAGCTCGTACATGTATTCAGCGTAGTCAGGTTGAATGAAACAACCAAATACTGTTTTGTTATCTGGATCTTGAGCAATGAATATCAATCTGCTGATGGAATGAAAATGATTTTTCAGGCTACAAAAATATAACCAAAGAAAACCTTGAAATACACCTGAAGGATGATTTGTGAGATGTCCAAGAGGACATCTGTATAGAGAACTTAAATATGATCTTCTGAGCATCGTGTGAGATAATTCAAACAAGCAAGTTTACAGCACAAATTCTGACAAGATGTTGTCTCGAATGAATGACCACCTCGGCTTCCGAGATCAGCAGGGTTGTCCGTCGTTCCAAGGTGTCGCCAACGGATTTAATTCTTGTCCTGGATCTTCCGAACTCGATTGCTCACAAATTGCTTTTAATTTCCGCTCCCTTTGATCCACACTGCTGTCGAGCCAACCGAACACGCTCGTGATTGGGAATCCTTGTGGGGCTTCCTTCACGTTGTTCACAAGATCGGTTGCCATGTGCCCAGCGACTAACTCGAGCCTTGGTAAAGTTAAAACTGTCTTCGCCAGTCTGGACTTTGCCCTTGCTACTGACATCTCCGAAAGCGTGAGGGTCGATACTTAAGATTTCTTCTTGGTATTCTTTTCCAATCAGCATTCTTTCCCAGTTCTCCCTCGTGTTCTTTAATTTTCTGGGAAGATCATAATCCCGTGGTACTCAGGTCGCATGTTTCTCTGTACAGCGTCTTCCAGTCAAGGTGACGAGTGAAGGTAATCCTAAAAGGTCGTATATCTTAGATATCTTCCTGAGGATTTCTCTCTTGGTTACTTTGACGATTGGGGCGGGAAAGGCGACTTCTATTGTGTCCAATGTTTTGTTCCACGGTACGCGCCTAGCAGTTTGGTCTCCCCCGTCTTTATACCCATATGGTACTTGGCGAAGCTTTGCCTTGTTGTCCTGCTGTTTCCTCCACGGGCGTGGCAAAGCTGTGACTTGCCTCCTGTTGAGTGGTTGAATGTTCTTCTGCCGCTTTCTCTGAGGATGGTGGCTCTTCTAGGTATAAACGCCATTGAATGCCATCTGGAGTCTGGGCTGCCTGCTTCAAGTGTTGTGTTTCGACTACATTTTTTGTACCAGTAATCAGGTCGTCAACCTAGAAGCCCCGTCTAACTTCTTAGACTTCGTTTGGGAAGTTTTGCTGAAGGTTTCGCAGGTGCTGATCTATAAGTGATCCGAGCGTCTTCACTTTCTTGGTCTCTAGGTCCTTCAACCTATAAAATCTCATCACGTCTCGGTCTCCTTTTCTGATCCTCACTTGCAAGAACGCTTGTTATAGATCGCCTGCTAGAGAATCTGTTACTGATGAGTACACTCCAAAGCTTATTCTGCAAGGGTGGACCTGTCTCTGAACACTTATTAAGGGAGGGTGCTGATTTACTGCTTCGGGCAGGTCCATCGTAGACGATGTGGATCTTAGTGCTCTCCGATGCCTTTCGCACAACGGCTTTGTGGAAAACGGCTTTGTGTGCTTTTTTGGAAAAACTTGATAGGTAGCAAGTCTCGAGCGTATGGAACAATTTGATACATAATTTGTGGGAAAATCACGTAAACTTAGACGACATCGACTCAAGACGTTTCTCGAGTCGTTCCTTTCAAGATCATAATTTGCATCCTCGAGTAACGGGCTTATGTACGCATTTTAGCTTTATCTCTTTTTCCCTTCGCAGAATCTTTTTTTTTTAATTTCCCCAATTTAGAGGGGATGAGTGTCCACCAGAATTACGCAATAAAAAATATAGGTTACCGTGCTCGTTCAAGAGCTAAAGACCAGTATACCTCTTTATCTGGTCCATGGATTAAAAAACAATACCGTATTCTCGAAATGCGCGCGCGCTCACTCCCCGGATTACGTGATTTTTATGCGCAATACAGGATGTGCGGTGCAAAACTGAGAAATCATCTTAAGAGTTTTTCCTCTCGCGAGAAACATTTCTATAGGTAGTCTTTTATCGAAAGCTACTCTTGTTAAAAACCGTCATGCCGCGGTTTCTTTAGGTTTACAACCGAAAGAAATACGTGAAAAATGTAAGGACCTATACCCACACCATTCCTCAATCGAGAAGTAAATTTTTGATGCCGAGTTAGTTCCTTCACATACCGGACCCCGATACCCTTAAATTTGCTTGGGAAGACTCACCATTAAGCCTACCTTATATTAGTTAGAGTGGAACTGAAACGCCTATGTACTTTCGCAAAATTAAAAGATAAAAACTCAATTTTTATGCATTGAGGGACAACAGCAAATACGCTAATATTTTAAAGTTTGTCAAGAACTGATCACAAACTGATCAGTCGCTCAAAGGGAAAAAAAAAGCAAATGAAAATGAAAAAATTAAGCAGTATCTTAGACAAAGGAGTGCAGAAAAAAAATTCTTCCACTCGGCCTCGTTCCTAAGCGGTTATCGTGAAACTTGGAGACCCCAAAAGTGAGTTGCTTTCCGCTTTCTGAGGAGCGCGCGTAAGGGCGTAGCTAGGGGTGGGGAGATCCTGGGGTGCCCGTGACCCCCCTTCTTAAGTCTTTTTTTATCATACAGAGTAAAACACGGCTTGGAGGTCGACATGACAATCCGGTAAGTACCCTGTACCCTGTACCTTTTGAGTGGTACTCTACATCCACAAAGACATGTACAATTAAGTGAAAAATTACAATTACCTACCAGTTCTAGCCCTACAATTATGTAAATATTTCAAGTCGAATCATTTTCCCCGCCAATATATCGCACAGTTCCTCTGGCTGGACTATCATTAATAAATGTCACAACTCTTTCATCAATCTTAAGCACTCCATCAATTCCTTGAAAAGACATTTGCTCGTGTTTCCTCTTCCAAAGTGACGATACCGAATCCGTAAGACTTGATTTACGTTTAGCGCTAATATTTTCATCTTTTTTGGCAATTTTTGAAGATTTCAAGTCATCTTCATCTTCTCTAGGTGTCAATTTGTCCAACAAAAACCCCAGAGTCTGGCTCACAGGTAAAGTATCGCTTGTTTCTAAATGTTCCATCGCATGTTCCTGACCCTGGATGTTTCTAGATATGTTAAACCACAGATCATAATCATTAATATTGAAGATTATTGTCATCATTAACCATCATCATGACTTTCATCATTATCATCATCATTATCATCACCATGGTTGCCATCATGATCAATGAAAAAATTTTATCCCATACCCATTGTTCAGCATCCAGTATGCAACATACATTTACACCATACAATCAAGAAAGCAGGATTATAAAATCTGACCAGAAAACAGCACATTATTCTTAAATAGAGACGACACTTTGCACATGACTGTTTGAAGGGCAAGTTTTACCATTACATACTATTGAATGAATCATTTAAATCTCCCCTTCAGACTCAGTGTCTCCTGGGAAGATAGACATTGAGGACATTGAAATACTTATGAGATGTAAAAGTAAGCTCAACTTGGTGTAACATGGTACCTTAGTTGTGTCGCTGTTGGTAGGAAATTTACATAATATAAATTGTCACAGTCTGCAATGCAACTTAACAAGTGCACGAGTACTTACGGTGAGTTCAACTCCAAACCAAATTTCCAGATAGGGTGGTAATATACCTCTGTACCAAACAATACCAGGCAAAACCTTTGAGGCTCCTTTCACTTCAACGAAAACAGCACTTCCGGGTGACAATTGTCGGCCAAATGCCAAACGTTTCCTATCTATATACGTTTGGTATCTTCCTTCAGATGAAGTAATTGCTAAAAGCAAGTTGGTTTCTTCCTCAGATAGTCGAGTCATATCCTCCGTAGGACATCCAAGACGTAATGATTTACGTTCAATTCCAACAATAGCAACTTTAGTTGAGTCTGTGGGTTGTTGAGCCTTGCACTGATGTAGACTTCGAGGTAAGGCCGCGCGACAAAAAGTTTATTTTTTCACGTAAGTGTCCGGCACGACACGACACGTAAAAGAATATACTTAATACTGGGTTCTTCCATTTTGTACCAAGTATAAAGGAACGACGATTTCACCTCTACTGTAAACAAACCAGGCCTTGATCCAGATGAAGAGGGAGGAAGGACACCATCTTGCTTGGAAATTTCTTTAGCCTCGATCTCATGAAGAAGGGGTATGAGCTATTTTTAAACAACATTTACGTCATCTTCAAAGAAAGTTTGGTCTACAATTCGCACGTACCTCTTCTTAATCCATGTGATGATAGGTTTTATGTGATCCGTACCTGATTTCGATTTCTAAAGAACACCTTTAGACCATTCTAAATCAATACTTCATCTAATCGTATCAAGAAAAGCGGATCGGACTAAAGTTGAGCAGCTTTGTTTAAAGACTAACAATGACCGTATATGGCTACTTTGGAACAATGGCGGAAAAAGCTTTAAAATACACGCGGGATTTTTCAAATTTCCGATTATCATAAGAGCGGCAGATTTAAACCATCGGCAAAAGTGATCATAAGACAAATCCTCTCCGTGGGGGTGATTCTGGTAGATTTTTTAGGATGCAAATAGTCACGGTGGGGTGGATGGTGGGGCGACTGTAGCTTTCGTATCTGAAGTAAAGAGATGTCACCGTTTTTTCCTTTACATTGCCTAAAACTAGCGAAAGATATATTCAATTAGAGGCTCACTGTGCGATACAAAGGTGATGAGAGCATGTGTAACCTGGTATTAACGTCCGAAGCCTACCACGCCGTTGAATCATGTGGAAGACTATCGTCATTTGCTCGATTGTTTAATGTGCGTGTATTTAAATTTCGCGCTGCGTGAATGAGATTTTCTTCCTGATGTGCACAAAAAGGTTCATATTCTCCTTCCTCTAGCGTGTGATTTTAACCTGGTAATAACGTCCGAAGCCTCGCGCGTCGTTAATTCATGTAGTTTTACGGGTATCATTCTCTTTCCGTATTTCAATTCAACGAAAGGATTTAAAAAAAACTTCATTCTGAAAATTGCAAGTAGTGAAAAATTGTAATCAACTGAGTTAAAGACGAACTGAAGATCATCCTCGTGGGTCGATTGCAGAACCAGCGCGTCACAGCTAATTTATCTTTATTCTGCAGCATCACCATTGCTTTCAAATTTTTAAATCGGGTCACAAATATTTAAAACTATTTTCATTTTCCAAAGAAATCTCATTTTTCACATGTTCAAGCCCGTTTTACACACATTTTGGAATCAAAGCCGCGGAGAACAGGGTGCCTTTTACGAGTTTTTCCTGGTTTCCCGATGAAATACAGTAGAACCCCGGTAATTCGCAGCCCCAAGGATCCGCAAATGGAAAATGGTTCGAGTTAGCGGGGATTCGAGTAATCTGTTGGCCCAATTGTGCTCGGCAACTTAAGGCGTTTGGGGCAACTTTTTGCAGTTCTAGCAAACCATAGAGATTTTTTTAGCTTTTCTGAGCAATTAATTAGAATTAAAGCACAAAAACACGAAAAAGTCAACGATTTCATAAACAACGTACTTCACTTTCTGCGCATTTCTTGAATTTCTTGAATTTTGAACACAGGCTGTCATTTGACCACGTTTCGCTGGCCTATTGTGATCCTTATTTGATGTGTGTTGCCCCGGGGCAAAGAATTTGAACCTTGCCTGGGTGGGGTGGGGAACTTGAACCGGAACTGTCGTGTCATTATGGCGGAATACACCTGTTTCATAACTTAATAAAGAAGTGTTTAAAGGTTAAGAGTTCACTTGCGCTAGAGGATGGCTGGGAAGTGAAGGTCTACTACAAAGTCACGGGCCTCCAAATCGAAGAATTTGAGAGTTTCTTTTAGATCTTCCAAATTAATCACATTTATTAGCACCTTACGGTCTCTTAAACTCTTCTGATTGCTTTCGCTTTCCGGTCACTATTACTGATGTTTGCCAGCACTGTGTAGGTGTACGTGGTGCATCACCATACGAGCTTTGAAGTGTGGAGGCGAACAACGAACAAAAAGTCAGAAGTAGCTGATCCAAAATGAAACCTTCATGATTGGGAAGCCTGTGGCTTGGTTAATAGAGATACTCTTCCAAAGTTAAAACCAACCCTAGTGAATAAAATGAGTTCCTTGGCTTCTTACAACATTGTCCCAGGAAGAGTCAAACACTCATTCATTTCAAATAATATAATCACATGAGTCGCTTATTACTGTAATTATTTCCAAAATACTACAATTGGATAGAAAACTCACTAACTTTGACGAATAAAATTTAACAATAGTTAAACGAGGTAAAGTATCATGTCTGCCTTTGTTCTTGGGCAATAATGGCTTTACAAAGTTGATACAGCAATCTAAACAGCGTATACAACTGTACAACGTTTCCCTCTATTTTATCCTGAGGGTCTACATTGAAGTCTAACCCTGAACAGCTAGTAAAATCAGCCTGCTTTGCACGCCTTTACAAGATCATATGGCTATTTCGCTATTTCAAACATAATACAAGCAAAATATTTATTTTTCGCATTAAGGACGTATCTAACGGATGATTAATTGAACTGTCGAGTTACATATTCCCACTCTGTATGCTAATTAACTGTAGGCAAGCAGGAAGTGTTGCAGATTAAATTCCTCTCTACAAAACACTTTAAGTGACGCGTTAAAAAACGCTGGGTTTAAGTGTGGTTGTGCGTTAATCGAGATATAACGCCCTTAGAAAGTTTGGAGAGCACTCAAGAAAGTAAAGTCGTTCTTGGCTGCGCCTACTCATCTTTTGTGCTTTCCGAACTACCTGCTCGCTTTATTACTCGATGAATACACGCTGACGCAAGAACCAGTCACACGATGAGAAACTAATCGATACTTTGCACGGTTCGTTACACAATCAGGAGAAAATTTTCCTATAAACTGCCCTTATATCATTCCCACGTAAATTTGTTTTGTGGACTTCTGGAAGGCACACTTTTTTCAAAAAAGCACCATGTGACCACTTGTGATCCGAATAAAACGCATTAAAGTCTATTTCTATATGAATCCTCTATTTTAGAAGCACCTGGAGGGTGATCCTAAGGTCAGTCCTCTGGAAAAGAACCCGCACTGAGATTTTTTGTCAAACTTTACTCTTTGGTTGTGTACCTTGTACGAATGTGCATTTTGAAATAAAAAAGACGGATTCCAGTTTTTGTTTAGGAGCAGCATTACCTAGTATACGTACCATGTAATTACTAAGCTATCTTGAAGATTATAGTTATCACTTCTTACCAAACTTACGTTTCCAAAAATTTAATTCCTTTTTCTACACAGAGAACTCGTTTGTATTTACTTAAGGGAAAGAAAGTTATTGCCCAACACCAAGGGAGAAAAAAAAAAAGGTTGATCAACCTGCTCGTTTGAAGGAAGTTACAATTTACCTCTTTGGTGAGCACTGAGCATAGAGTAAAAAAAAAAAAAAATTTTTAAATTGCACGCTGTGATCAGGTGTGAAATCATTCGTAGTGAGGATGTCCAATGCAATATTACGAATGACGTTGCAAGGTATACATAACATGCATAATGGACATCAAACCAATCGCACACCATTGATTCAAATATGTAACCAAAATGGTTCAGCTAGAACTGGGGGATATAAAGTGACATCTCCCTAGTTTCAAACCTTGCGAAAATTACGACAAAGGTCTACGTTTAAGATTTAAATCAAGGTGGGAGGGTGTTTTGTCTTACTGGGCTACAAAAGAAATCGTAAAACTTACTTGGTCATAAACTCTTTCTACATAACACTCAAAGAGTAAAGAAAAGAGCCACCATTTTTATATCTGCGCGCAGCGGTCGGGTGTGAAATCATGCTCAGTAAGGATGTCCAATGCAATATTACGAATGACCTTAAAAGCGCATGATAGGAATCAAACCGATCGCACGCCATTCAGATTCAAGCACGTGCCAAAAATGGTTCAGCTAGAACTTGGGATAATAAAATAACATCCCCTAATTTCAAACCTTGCCAAACATACGAGGGTCTTCGCTTAAGATTTAAAAGGTGGGGGTATTTTGCAGAACTGAGCTAAAAAAGAAATCATAAAACTTATTTGTTCATAAACTCTTTCTGCAAAACACTTACAGGACAACCTCCCACGTAGAAAATGCTTTTAGTCGACGATACTCCTATCATTTTCCATTCCTTTGAAATTTCATGCCTTTCTCCCATTCTGAATAATGAAATTGATTTTTGAAATTAATCAATCTAATCATGTCTTGTGATTTCCGGGTTAAGGAGGGGGGGGGGGATACACCAGAGATGTCCTTCAGTAGCATACGCACCATTGGAAATTACAGAATTACGTTAATTAGTTTTCTGTTAAAAGCAAAACCGACCAAACCTATTTTAAACAGGTTCCTCAAGTTCATCAATGATCTCCTGTATGCTTGGTCTCGCCTCGGGTTCCGATTGCAAACATCCCCGGATAAGGGCTCGATTCAATTTGTTTTTAACCATGGCGACTTGCCGATCACGCCTCACTGGATCTGGCAATTCCCGGATGCACATCTCACAGAGGAGGACCCCAAAACTGTACACATCAACCTGAACAAGATAAGGGACGAAAATGAGAGGAAATACAGCACTGAACTAGTTTCTTACGTTGAATGAGTGAAAATGTCTCGATCCATTTCTATCTCCAGATAAGCGATAACACTTGACTATATAGACCCCATGGCAGACTCGATTAGTATTCCTTTGTATTCAAGTAGATTAGCCCAACTAGCATTGTCAGTATGTCCTAGGAACAATAAAAACCTTACCTCAAAGATCAGACTAGTTAGGCTAATATACATGAGTACAATAGAATACCAATCCGGCCTGTCAATTACACATACTGTCTATTTTATGTCAACAAAATAAAAAATCCTGACCTACTAGCGATATTAACAAGATAAATATTAATGTCCGTTACCTTAAGCTTAAGTCAATTCATAAACTTACGTGCACGTGAAATGCACGCATATATACAATAAACAAATTACAGCTAACCTTGACAGTTTGATTTTTAGTAAGTGCTTCAGGAGCACTGTATATCATGGCACCAGGAGCAACTGTCATGGTCTGCTGCATAAAGTTGGCGGTTCCATAATCTGACACTTTGCCTCGCCAATGTTCGCCCTGTCGCCAAAGTAGCACATTTGCGCTGCTGATGTCGCGGTGAATAATAGGAGATGGTTGCTTTTGGTGAAGGTAGTTTAGCGCCCGAGCTACATCCAGGGAAATAAAAGACATTTCAGCCTCAGAAAGAGTTCTCTGTTCCAACAGAGTGCGTAAACTTGTTTCCATGAGCTCTGTTACAAACAATGGATTCCCTTCGTCATTTGTAGCTCCGATGAACTGCAGCAAACAAGGGTGGCGGCATCTTGATGCAATATCCATTTCTCGCTCAAATAATTTGCGGTTGTGAGGAGAGAGAATCAACTCATGGATCTGTTTCACTGCAACAGAACAACCACAATATTTGCCTTCGACAACACTTCCCCAGCCTCCTCTGCCGAGAAACCTACCCGTCAGCTGAATGTGATCCCGTGAAATGATCCACTCAGGAGACTGTTGTCGTTGATATTCACGTAACTCATCCTGAGCTGTAGACAGAGTTGTTTCCAATTCATTCATTTCCTGGTCTTTTTCCTCCAGTTGTTGCCTTAGGGCAGTAGCTTGATTCTGTAAATTTGCAGTTTCTTCATTTTTTTCTTGTAGCTGCCCTTGGACAATCGTCATTTGCTGGGTTACATCTCTCAGTTGTCGTTGATGTTCACGTAACTCATCCTGAGCTGTGGACAGAGTTGTTTCCAATTCATTCATTTCCTGGTCTTTTTCCACCAGTTGTTGCCTTAGGGCACTAGCTTGATTCTGTATATAAGCAGTTTCTTCATTTTTTTCTTGTAGCTGCCCTTGGACAATTGTCATTTGCTGAGTTACATCTCGCAGGTTTGTCAGCTGCTGCTCTATCTCAGTCGATTGTTTCCTTGAAGTTTCTTCAAGTTGTTCTTTTTTCTTCAGCTTTTCATGTAAGCTGGTCTCTCTCAACTCTTTCTCTCGTAGTTCTGCTTGCAAATGTGTCACCTGTTCCTCCAGTTCTCTCACCAGCCTGTGAACGTTTCCTCCTGGTTCATTTTCCTCCATAAGTCGCCTGTCTGTTTACAAGAGGAGAAATCCGTCTTCAATTTTTTGTTAGTTTAAGAGCAAAATGAGGAACCTGTGCCTAGCCGGAAGTGGAAAATATATACTTTTATTTACTAGTTGAATTCTTTTCCATTTCCACTCCGCAATTTCACTTGACTTTCTATCTGAGACAAATTTGGCTGTTACCACAGATCCATTATTTCTATGTGCTCCTTGCTCTAACTGCTTCACTTCATCTTTAGATTTTGGTGATCTTGTGCTACGATATACCCATAACTTAACCAGGAATAACACTTAAGGTGATTTCTCAGAAGTGTACTGCACATCCTGGGTGGGCCACTTGGCTTGAGTACAGACTTTACCTTTAACCTTTCAGTTGTGATACAATTTCACTGAAAAAAAAGCTCTCCTGCATCTTACTACAACTTCTCCCGCTTTACAAGCTTTAAAAAAATTTTCACTTAAATAACTTGGAAAAATGTACAGGTCTAGTCAAGCCTAAGGGCAAAGGCCTCGATTTTTTGGGTTTTTTTGCTTTTTTTCTGTTTTTGCTGTGCACATCTCATTTGTGTTGTTCAGCCTGGCTTGCTTACCTTTTTCAGCATTTAAACTGACATCAGTGGTTGGTGAATTAGCAAAGCGGGAATCTGGTCGGCAATGCTCCAGTAAAACAAAGAAACCTCTTCCTGCTGGGCAGGTGAAATATCTTTCTTTATTAAAAGTCCCATCTAAACAATCATACATCTCTTCTTCCTTCAAAGAAAGAAAGTATAGATAAATGTTGGTGATACAATAATTAATAATAAAGAGCTAAAAAAATCAAATGTATCGTTTACTGTAATTTTTTTACTCTGTCTGATAAATCTCACTCACCAATTCCAGACCTGCTACCAGCCTTCCCTTCACTTGTGGAATATTTCCCATCCAGAGAATGACAGCATATCTTGGAAAACCACCCACAGGAACCTCTACCATAGATCCAACCTCCAAATCATAACGGTTTTCAACTGACATGATGCTATTGTCACCTACAGGAAAAATTTTACTATTACAACAATTTCTGGTCACTAGTAAAATCATGCTTAAACGATTGCAAACTGTCGACAGTTCAAACCTTATTACAGTTGTGATCATGAAAGACATGTTGGCCTACAAGGTTCGTATGCTTGACTCTGGGAGAAGAGGTCTGGGTTCGAGACCAGTGGCCTGTTTCTCGGTAACCACATGTCAACGGGCCCATACCGCTTTTCTGTTTTCATTCAAGATGGGAGTTTCAAAAGTTTTCAGGATTATACAATAAAACTATCAGCTAAAGAAACAGAGTGAACTGGTTTGGGCGTCAGAGCTTGCTTCTCTATTCTCTTACTTTTGATTTTAAAATATTGCTTCAGGCCCGTTAAGTTGGCAGAAATTTCAAGAAACGGGCCCCTAGCCCAATGTGTTGTGATCTTGGGCAAAACACCTTATTCTCATAGTGCCTCTCTTCACCCAGGAGTATACATGTTGTAAATGGGTGCCAGCATGTTGTCAGGGAAGCTTAATAAAATTCTGTGGGGTAACCTTGCCTTGGGCTAGCATCCCATCACGGGGGTGAAGTGATGCTGCTAGTCACTTCACGTTAAGGAAACTGGAATAAGCTCCCGCTTAGAGGGCTACTTGGCTTGAGTACAGACTTTACCTTTACCATTACAGTTGTGATAAACTTTCACATAAAAAAGCCACTCCTACATCCTCCTAAACCCTCTATCGCTTTACAAGCTTAAGTAAAATTTTTACTTCCAGTAAAAATGTATAGGTCTAGTCAAGCTTATGGGCAGAGTGCCAATTGTGTTTTTTTCTATGCACATCTCATTTGTTGTTCAGCCTTGTAAGAGTGGGTCCCCACTTGGATTAGTTCCTTACAGCTCTTTGTTGTACATTTTCTCTATACTTCAAATTTATTCTAGCAGTAGCTAAGAAACGTATCAATACTTAACAAAAATTAAAAATTATTTTGCCAGGTATCTTTTGACTTGAGAATATCAAAGGAAAAATAAAATTAGCAGAATAGGGGAGAAAAATATGAGACTAAATGCTCTGTAAACTGAATCATCTTCTGTGTCTTTGCATTTCGTGATAAACAAGCAGCCTGATGGCTGCAATACACAATTCAAAATTGCTAAACTAAAAAGACTCGTAGTAAATAGGTTGATTCTGAAGACGACTTGAGGCATCTCTTGATGCTTCCTTATTAGAGGGAGTCAGTCACCGGCAACACTACAGTACATGCATTTCCATTGAAAATTTTACAACAGAATTATACGATTGAACCTGTATTAAGCGGTCACCCACAGGGAATAGCAGGGTGACTACTTAATACAGGTTACTTAGGTTACCGCGTGTACTCAGACCGCTCTTAAACAGAGCACCTTCATGTAAGTGTTTAGACGGATCCGTTATGCACGTGCCCTTAAGTCACGTGAAGGATTGTGTCTGATTAGATTGACAAGATGGATAAAAAATAACAATGATGAAGGTTATGAAGGTGATGATAAGCACTCTGTAACTAATGACAATCCTGCACAAGAGTGAGCTGATATCGAAGAGATGCGCGCCCGAATACAGACTCCGGCGACAAGGAAATCAATAGGTCATTTATGTAGTACAAAACTAACCTGGCTAGCTATTAAATAACGTACATGGGGTACTTTGGCTCAGTAGTACATACCATCTAATGATCTGGTCGCCTCTCTCATGATATTAGTCGTAGGTCCTATATATTTCCTCAAGGTTTTAATGATAACCTCGGCCTGAAGAGCAAAAACGTTATGCAATACATTAAAAGCTCGCAACTCATCGAGACATCCACTTGACAGTCTTAAAGTTGTAATCTGTATAATAAATGAAGGGTGTTTGTCTGAAGAAAAAAATTTCACCCCCAAGACAAGGGGTAAAACTGCACCAAACAAATTGGCTAGTAACGTCATTTTCAAAAATGGCCGATACGTTTGTAATAGTTTACCCTTGTAATCATCCTCAATCATCAAAGAGAAATGTGTAACTAAGAACGTACGAACCTTTCATTCTCAAATGTTTATGCGTTTGCTGAAATATGTCTGTCTGATTTGGGTATCACATGGAATACCTTTCCTTCCGTAGAACTTTGGCAAAGGAAGATAACTTTTTGGGGTTCAAATGTAATGATGTCATAAAAAATTTCTTTGTACTTCTGAAATTACAGTGTCTGCAGGTATTCTGGTCGATTCACGGCCTTTTTTTCTTAAAGTTTAAAACCTTCACCGCTACGGTGAAAAGGAGTTATTTTGCTATTTTAACGCAACCTGAGTACCAAACAGATTGATACTAATTCCTGTAGAGACAGAACCGCGCCAAGGACGTCCCAGGGATCAAATCAAACTTATTTCCAAGGGGTTGTCTGTCAAACATGACTCCATTCTAAGATTATATATGCTACCACTCTGCAATCCTTGAAACAAATCCATTTGCTTTCACAACTTGAGCTCTCTCTATCTGACATCTTAATCACCGGGCAACCTTAATTGGTTCTGATGAAAGAACCCTTACAAAGTCCAAAGCCTGGTCTTGCATATTGTTTTTCTTTAAAGAAGACAAGATTCCCAGTGTAAACTCGTCCATAAATAAACAGGCTAATTCCTAATAATTCAGCTAAGTTATCACAAAGCCCTTTTTGGTTTTACTTACTTCTTCCGACTTAAAAGCATAAAGCTTATTGTTTTCAAAGTGGTTAGCTGGACTGCACACATAGCCAAATACTGTTTTATCATCTGGATCTTGAGTAGTGAATGATATTCTGCAGATGTAACATGTAGGCCATGGAAACTACAAAAATATAGCCAAAGAAAAACTTGAAACACATCTAGAAGATGATTTCTAAGATGTCCAAGAGGACACCTCTTTAGAGAACTTAACTATGATTTTCTGAGCATTGTGTGAGATAATTCAAACAAGCAAGTTAGCAGCACAAATTTTGACAAAATAGATAGACTTTAAAAATTGACATTGGATTTGAGAACTGGTTTAAATTGTGTGGATAAAATTTATACAATATTATGATAAACAAATTCTAAACTCTGTTCTCTTACTCTGGATATCTTTTGCTTTGTCCAGACATGAGTCCTGGAAATACTTAGTTCACAATATGGCATCTGCCCTCCTGCCTTAATATCTGCCATCCATGCCTACAAAGATGAATTTCAATAGCAGCAACATTTAGCAATCACAGATTAATTTCTGCATGAAATGTTTGCAGCCCTTGCCAAATTTATATTCATGCATGTGATAAATAAACCACATGTTCTGCTCCCAAACATAAATGTTACAGGTACATAAACCCAGGTATGTGTGAGCCCCTAATGTTTACATTAACATATTGAATTTGATTGTTTTTGCAAAGTTCAAAATATAGGTGTGTTGTGGTCTCAGTGCCACCTTAATTCTGCAACAATGTAATGCATTTAAGATGGTTCTGAACATACTTCACTGATTGTTTTAAAACTTCAGTTACAATGCAGTTTTGAGTTTAGCAATTTTGCCTCAACCACTTAACATAATTAATATTACTATAATTGCTCCAGTGATTATAGAGATGTACAGCCTCTGATTGGTAGAGGATTGCATCATATCTTGTTTGAGGTGATTATAGCAGGAGCACTAAATTTCAAAATGGCTGCCTCAGGTTTTGTCAGTGTTACAGAGGAAGTGCACAAACGATGCTAGTAACACTTTTTAAAATAAAGACATGAAGTTTTTGCCAAGTGAATTTAATGAACCTATCAAATCCTAGTGGGAACTGACTCTATTTCAATATGAGTAATCAAAACAATTGAAACAGAATGGGTTCAACATCAAAACAAACATTTACAAGAGATTTCAAATGCATTTACAAGCAATTGTACTAAAACAATCATTCACCTTACACTCAGTGAATATTGTACAATGATACTCTCCTAACCTTCTGCAAATACTTGTTGAATATTAACAAAACAGCAACATGTGAAGGGAGTTTAAAGGTAACTTTGAACAAGGTGAACCTTGATATGCTGATTGCAATTAAATATTAAAAAATTGGCATTACCATTCTTTTCTTAAAAGTTGCAGGTGCATAAATGTAAAATTAGACATGTGTCTTGCTAGCTGTAGTATTTCCTTCACACCATCATTAATTATCATGAGAAAATTGATGGGCATGTGTGTGATATAATTCTTTAAAGAGATTAGGAGTGAAAAAGTATTGAAAGACTGACCCATAAAAGAATCAATTATGAAACCATTTTTAACAATTTAGCTTGTATAACAATATGTTGACATGTTGAACATTACAGCTTTGGGATCCAACATGTGATCATCAGCTGTCTGTAAATAATAAGGTCTTAAGTTTGATCCAAGTACTAAATTTAACACAATTCATGTTACAGTCTAGCCCAGTAATTTGATTAGCTTGTAAAATGTGAGTGAAATTAAAAATCACCCATGAACTAACTTGCCCACACCAACCCACCCACATGTAAAATTACTTTTCTATTTCTCTTGAAATAGTGTTTATTCTGGCAAAGATCCTTCTCATATCCATTTAATAAATAATATTCACAGATATTACCAAACCAAAGTGTTCAGCAACTGGCATACCATTACATATGAACACTTAGATGCTGAGATCTAAATCCCCGAACAATTGCTTTGATTCTTTGACCAAATTATGTAACACAACAAACAAAACAACACAAAAGTGTAACATGTAAATAAAATAAAAGCTTTCCTACTGAAGAAATATACAATTCTGCAGTGCAATAAGTGTCCCAAAGGTGTTGGAAAGCATCCATAGCATCTAAATGTTTGAATGTGATGGTAATTACCAGCTGCCAAAAACATCAAAATTAAACTGAAACAAGTCTAAATCTGTAATGAGCTTATTGAAGTGATTTTATGCATGAGCAAGTTGGTCCCTGGGGGTGAGTTGATTGAATACTAATCAAAGAGCTAATCAGTTTAACATGTCAGGGGTGTATTACCAGATGTTTCACGAAAGCCTCCAATTGCAGCGGTGTATTTGTGACCTGTGTAGTTCCTAGAAACTTTGAGATGAATATATCTAATTTACTCCAAAATTGCATAACTCTTTTTTGAGGAATCTTGATCAGATTATAATTATACTAGATCCATGATTACCATCACAAATATGAAACAAGGTTTTACACTATCTAAGGAAAAACTGTAACATTTATCATAAAATCAAATAGTTTGGGAAGTAAGGGTAGTTTGGTGCAGTATGTGTAGTCTAGTATAGTTTGGTGCAGTAAGTGTAGCAGGTGTAGTTCGGTGTAGTTTGGTGTAGTAGGTTTAGAGGGTAAGTTTCTGAAGACTGTGGTGCTGTGTCAGTGGGAGAGTATAGCAAGGTAATTTGTTATTATCAACTGAGTTGATAAAATAAATCGGCCACTGTTAAGAGTTTCAAAGCTGACATTTGGAGTGGTAGCCCTTCATCAGAGTGAGTAGAGGAATTGTGGGTTGTGTGTGTGTTTATGTGCAGAAAATGGAGCTATGCCATTGTTGGGAACATGGTAATGAGAAAAACAAGAATAAATTGGCTGGATGAAAAGCATTTGTTGATAAACTTTTATTCTAAAGTTTTGCAGCTTTCCAAACTGCCTAGATGTAGGGAAAGGCAGATATTACCAAACCAGAACATTAGTAAAGTGGAGCAAATGTTCAACAATGCAATATTAGCAGAGGAGAGAAAATGCCAGAAGAACATACTAGAGGAGGGAGGAACAAGGATTTATTGAGATCTGATACAATAGACATTTATCTGGCCAAACATTGGTGTCCCAGCAAACCATTGATTTGACTGAACAACTTGACCAGCACCAGCTGGAAATTATTTTGAGCTTTACATATGATTTGAGAGCTTTGCCTCTGTGCTACTTTTATGAGGTGACTCAGTGATTATTACTGTATCTTATTAGTAAGTAATCCCATGAGTTTTCCTGTGCTATTTGGAATAAATTTATGAGAACTGGTAAATTTTAGAAAATTCAATGTTCAATATGTATATTTATACTACACTCCAATTTGAATCATGTGATTATACCTGCACAAAGTACTTTACTTTATTGAAAGTCATCCACAGTTTACTCACCATAGACTTATATAGCAGATAATAAACCAAATGCTTTCAATCCATGTTATAGAGCAGTTATTTAATTCATGAGGAGAGATATAATGATATCAAGAAGATAACAATAATAATGATAATAATAGGTTTAATGGTGATAATAAAAAGGATAATTGAAATTATACGGATCAAACCTGGCATCTGAAAGTGAAGTCTGGTTTACTGAATTCATCTCCAATGAAATGTGTGGCCATTTCCTTAATCTTAGTAATGGCTGAAAAAAGAGGAAATCCAGGTTTTTAAAAGTAACATAAATGGACAACACAAAAGAGGAACATTTAAACGTTGTGCTGGCAACAAAGCATACCTAGTAATTTTACAATTTTATCTTGGAATCAATCAGCAAAAAGGTGACAAAAGAATAGGACTGCAGTTCTATTATCAGAGTTGCTAGGTCATATCACCCTAAGAAGGTGCTTATGACTCTGTGTTGGAGAACTGTCTTTCAAATCCAATGGATGGCAATGATTATTGGGTTTCTTATTTAAATTTTTCACAGTATAAAACTTTATTTTTCTTTCAGCTAACAGAAAGAATTAAGCTGAATAACAAAGCGTAAATTGTGTTGTAATTTACTCTTATCATAGACAGACTATTAATGAAAGTACTTCCGGGTTTTTGGCTCCGATGGCCATAAATAAAAGAAACAGTCATTATAGAATGTCGAATTACAACTGAATCAGATAAACCATTGATACTCTTCAAACAATGAAAAATATCATGATCAGTCCTCAGTTCTAATAGTACCAACTAGGAGTGGTGACTTACAGATTCCTTTGCTTTATAAAGGTCTTCCAAAGCAAATAGAGTGAATTGCTACCCCCTGTTAGCTCTTGGATAAGTTTCTAAGCTGCGTAGAAAAAAAAACCAGTTTTTTATACTTCAGCCGATCAAGTTCAAAAATTTAAATATTTAAGCAACAAAACACATTTTTCCGGGCTCTGTAACCTGATAACACATTCACTTGGAAACTGAATTAACAAATTAGACGATGCGCACTGTGTTCACGTATGTTATACTACCATAAGAACAGGGCAGATCAAGTTCTTCAGTGCGCATGACGTTTAACAGACACCACTGCACTGTGGGCTCGTTTACGAGTAGTGCTAACCAAGTAGGCGGATAAGAGGTTGGGAAAATTTGAAAAATGAAAGGTCCCGAAGTGTTTCTGTCGGTAATCTAACAAAAGTTATTCTAGTTCAAAATTGTCATGCCGCAGTTCCTTTTAGGGTTTTTTTTTGTCATCACATTGAGTAAAACGCGGCTTGGAGGTAGACATGTCATTCTGGTGAGTACCCTCTGTTTCAGACAGCGTGACCCCCTCCCCCCCCCCCCTTTAAAAAATCCTAGCGACGCCCCAGGCGCAGACCGCGATCCTTTACGACATAACCTTTCTCAGTAAAGTTCCAGCTGCTCGGACTAAATCTGCCAGTGCTGTAACGAATTGAATTTTACACTTGACATGAAGGGTTTCATAAAGTCTTGTGGTGCTCTCCATCACCAGTGTTAGTAGTTGTGTAAATTAGGGATGCCTGTTTGCTTCAACGTGTGTGGAAATCCATTCACAGTCATAGACTTAAGGGCTGGAGGGAGAGTAGGTGGGTGCCTGCCTTCTTGCAAACGCTCATAATTTGAAAATTATGAACGCTCGGAGAAAAACCCGAATTCAAATTTGTTAGATCTTGTTAAACGTGTGTATTGAAAATCCAGGATATGATTTACAATTTTCTATCAACAAAAAACGACTATAGTAACTACGAAGGCCAAATCTTCCCTCTTCTTTCTTCTGAAACGATTCTTTCAGTGCGTGACCATTGTGAGTTGACGCGAGCAACGTTGTCTTTACTTTCATCCACAACGGCAAATTGGCCAATCAGATCGCGTAATTTTTGATAGTGGTGAAATAAGTCTACAGTTATCGATATTCCCAAAACAGCCGCCCCTGCTACCGAGCAAAATCATACTTACGAGCACTACGAGCACTGGAAAAAGCGCAAAATTTGTTGGTGGCTTCGTGATATGAAGGACGCGAGACTCAGAAGAAGGAAGCGGCATTAACCTCTATGTTTGGGCACTTAGTTAACACGTGCAGTAATTTAAATTTTAAGTTTAAGTTTCGAAAATGAACTGATTCTGTTTGACACTTTAACTTAATTGCGAAAAACATGTTTTAGATCAGTTGTACATACTATATGTCGTGCTTATCATTACAAACTAAAATTTCTTCGCTTCTTAGTGGGTGGTTATCATGTTAGATCACTTTGGTACAAGCCTAATAGCTTTTGTTGAGGTCTTTAGTTTTACGTCTGATTTGATCTCAAGGTTAACTTGCAGAGCTGCTATCTTATTAAGTTTTGCTTCCTCACAAGAACAACCTCAACTACTCTTGGGTACACAGTTAGCTCCGGGGACTGTGACGTCTCGTGCGTTAAGGAAACATAGCAACAGTTGCCGAGCTAGAGCGCTGCTGGACTTTTCAAGGCACTAACTAAAAGTTCCTGTGCGTCACCCATTGCATATAACGTTCTTTGACTGAAGGAAAGTGCCAATGATAAATTAATAAGTCTGAAAGGAAGCTGAAATTAATTTCTTTGTTGTGATCGCAGAGAATCTAGAATATTTTACAAGGATCTAAAGGCAAACAACTAAACATATTGCTGAACGATCTTTCACAGAGGAGGATCAAAATAAACATCAAAAGTGTTCATAGAACTGAATGAAAGAAGATAAGGCCAAGTTTAGAGTTGTGAGCAGATAAGGAAGCTCTGAAATGCTAAGTTCTACAGATTTTTAGGGAAAGAGCTCAGAATTTTTGTAGATAGGACGAGGGGAAGAGCTTCTATTTTGCAATTTATTTAGCTGCAGGTCACCTGCAAAGATCCTTTCTTTACTTTGTATTTCATCCTGGGATCAAAATATTACTTATTTCATTTATTCATAATTCTCTACGGGAACAACAATCCTATCAGAATTTGAAACAATTCCAACCTGAGGTTCCGCAGCTCAATTGGTTATAGCGTCCGGAAAGGTACAGGTTAGAATCCTGTCGAAGCCTGAATTTTGCACATTTCTTGAAGTTTCTGTAATTTCGTTACTGATGCTCACCTGCAAGGATCATGTCTTCACTGATTTGTTACTTTGAACGTCGAGATCAGGGTCTTACTTATTGTGGATTCTGATGAATAACCCCAGCTCGGTATTGGAACAAATTTTTCTTCTGGGAATTTGGTCAGTCACAAGGTATAAGAAAAAAAAAATTTGTCGAGAAGTATCATTACAGTCATTTTTTAGGAGAACACTAAGTGGCATAACATCCTCAAGTATTTTTACAGTAAATTATCTGAACCAGAAGGAATATTCAACCGGCTAATTTGATCGTCTAGGTAAGAGAAGTCCTTAAAAGGATCGTTTTCAGGGGAAGTTACTGTCATTTCGACACCCTGAGTAGAAGTCAGTTTGTTACGGGTCATTCCTTGTCACCAAAAGCAATCCTTTCAGTACCGCTCTCACCCAAACGATCAGAACACACGAAAAACAAAAACAAAAAATTCAAAATGATAGCTGTATCTAGTCCGACTAAACAAACAAACAAACAAACTAAAAATATAATAAAATATGTGCCTATTGTTCATCGTGGTGTAGGATAGTAGATGAACTTTGTTCGTTGTCTCACGATAGAGTCACTAATGATGTAGATCGCGACGTTTCGACTGCAATACTGCTAGTCTTCATCAGGCGATGAGGTCGATTGTTAACGCGTCGCTATTTGTAGCACTTTGGTAGGCTGCCATTGGTGCATTTCGATCCTCATTACTAGTCCGGTCGTTAGATGGTGTTCCCTCATAGGTCCTCATAAATCGGCTGTCGTGTTGTTTGATCGTGGGTATCCAAGCTTCGGGAATTTCGATTCCGCCTATCCCTATTGATGTTGTTGGGATGAAGTCTTATATGGATAGCCTCTTTGACCCTACGTGTGTACCAGTGGGGGTCACGATCAATAAACTTAACCTTGCTCCAAATAGGAATACGCCCCTTTTCGTTAGCGTGCTCCGAAACCGCAGAGGTCTGAGTACGAGCAAACCGTATGTCTCTGTCATGTTCTTTTATCCTTTCTCGCATTGATCTCCCAGTTTCACCGATGTACACTTTGTCGTATTCGCATGGGATCTTGTAAACGACACCGCCTTGTCTTGATGGTTCCAGAGCGTCTTTAGGTCCTACTAAGTAAGACCTAAGTGTTGTGTTCGACTTGAAAACGGTTGACCGTTTGATTTGTAGCGTGTGCTTCAGGTGCTCTGTAGATTGGAGCCCCAGGTACAATTGTCATGATCTGTTTCTTGAAATTAGCAGTGCTATAATCTGACAGTTTAGCTCGCCATTGATTACCATGTCTCCACAGCAACACATTTGCAGTACATTTGCAGATATTACGGTGAAGAATAGGAATGGGGCGTTTTTGGTGGAGGTAGTTTAGTCCTCGAGCCACATCCAGAGCAATAACGAGGATTTCTGTCTGAGAAAGAGATCGTTCCTCTAACAGTGCTCGCAAGCTTGTATCCATGAGCTCTGTGAGAAACAAAGGTGTGTGGTCGTCGTTTGTTGCTCCCTCGAATTGCAATTAATAAGGGTGTCGACATCTCGAGGCAATGTGCATTTCTCGTTCAAACAACCTGCGGTTGTGAGGAGAAAGAATCAAATCAGATATCGTTTTTACAGCAACGAGACAACCACAGAACCTTGCTTGGGCAACCTCTCCCCAAGCACCTCTACCGAGGGATTTGGTCGTCAGCTGAATTTGATTACGAGGAATAACCCAGTCTGGTGATCTTTGAGCCTGATCGTCACGTAGTATCTGCTGGGCTGTTGAAAGGCTTCTTTCTAGTTCATTCTTTTCCTGGTCTTTTCTTGTCAGCTGTTCTTCTAGCTCGCCAACCTGCTGTACCGTAATTCCTAATCGTTCTCGCAAAGCAGCAGTCGCTCTGTCTTTCTCTTTGATCTGAACTTGAAGATCTCTTATTTGTTGATTCATTTCCCTTAATCTCAATTCCGATTCAACTAATTGTTGCTCTTTTCTCTCCGGTTGCTCCCGCATGTTGGTCTTCAGTAACTCTTCCTCTTGTAATTGATCTCGCGCGTTTGTCACCTGCTGACGATGGCACGCTGGTTTCCGTTATGGCGATCTCTTTTCTTTAACAAGTTGGCCTTTTCCAACTCTTTCTCCCTTAGTTGTGCTTGAGATTGTGAAATCTGCTCTTCTACTACTCGCAGTTTTTGGTATAAATTCTCTTCTTGTCTAATTTTCTCTTCCAGTTGTTTATTTTTTGTATTCAAGAGAATTTGCAGGTGTAGATTTATCCCCTCCTTCTCTTGCAACTGGTCATCTTTTTCCCTGAACTGTTCCTGTAAGTTCGATAAACGAGCTCTCATTTCCTGTAACTCCGTCTGGTTCTCGGGCGAAAGAAAAATCGACAGAGTTTGTTTTACAATGGGAAGTCAAAAATGTACTGAATCTACCACAGCTCACCCAGTAAAGACATTCTTGTAGGAAAAAGAAAATGAATGTAGCAACCTTTGTGGCTAGCACGCAGCCGAGAAAAGTATTGGCGCTTTTGACGAATTGCGTATTTACATAGGCAGAGAAGATCCTAGGCTGCTTGCAAATGACCGCCATCTTTATTTGTTAAAGAATTTTGAGAATTATGTTTGAAAGAAAGTTTTAGAATTATACAATAAAACTATCAGCTAAAGAAACAAAGTGGACTGGTTCTGGCGTCAGAGCCTGCTTCTCTATTCTCTTACTTTTAATTTTGAAATATAGCGTTAGGCCTGTTAAGTTAGCAAGAATTTCAAGAACAGACCCCTGGCCCAATGTGATGTGAAAAACAAACGCCCAATGTGATGGCCAAAACACTTAATTCTCTTAATTCACTTAATTCTCATAGTGTCTCTCTCCACCCAGGAGTATACATGTTGTAAATAGGTACCAGCATATTGTCAGGGAAGCCTGATAAAATACT